CTTTTGATACAGGCTTTTAATCTCATTTTTATTACTTCCGTATTATTCTTTCATGTCATTTCTATTGGGAGTGCCATATTTTGTGCACAAATAAACCGCAGAACTTTTGTATTAAATAAGTATTGTTATGAGCTGATGCAAGAGGCCGATAAAAAAACTGTAATTTTCTAACTTTTATTGTTTTTTATATGAAATTATAGCGCTCTCCGTTATTATCAATATTTTAATTGTGGAGAAGGATTTTTCAATCTATAGCCAATAAAAAGAAAAGCCCGTGAACTCAAAGTCGGTAAAACAGTCATGGTCAGCATTCCTACGATTTAAGCAGATATCGGACGTGAATTCGCTTGTTTTATACGAACATTTTTGCCTTGATTGCTGTTCGTATATGATCGCGCAGCTCCATTTATCCATTTTAGACCGTCTAGTATATTATATTGGCCAGGTTCGTCTCCGTATACGATTTCGGGAGCAGGGAGATTCACGAGAAAATGAAAACAAGGGAATCGTCTCGTTATCAAATGGACCAGAAAAAAACGTCGCGTCGTAAAAAAGCGAGATAAAGATTCTCGTCAAATTAAAAATTCAGCGATAAGCGAGGAATTAGAAAAATTCTCGTCTCTTTATCTTTATAACTGTCTCTCTTTCTCTCTCGATGTGTGCAAAATTAATTCGGCATTCATAGATTTAATGAAAAAATATGAAAATAAAAAAAAAATATTTTAGTTGTTTCAAGAATTTCGGTCTATTTATTTCCTTAAAAAAAGAAAGTTTAAAAAAATCAAGAGACGGATTATTTTAATCCATCCATCTCGCTGGATTCGGGAAAATTTGTTGATAGTTTGGACCATTACGCAGAGACGAATTACTCGAAAAGGGTCGTCCGTCGATTTTCTCCTTCTTCTCTCAATGTTTCCTGGTCCGTCGACCAAACAAATTTACAATTCCATGTAAATTGCTAGAAATCATGACATCTAAAGGTCGTCTCCCTTTTGCTCGAGAATTTATATGAGTGACTACAAACTATTTCGATGACTACAAATTGTATTTGTTGACCGTAAAAAATAAAGAAAAATAGGGAAAGAAATTGCCTTTCAATCACGAAATTTGAATCCAAAGGAGATGTAACGATTCACAGTAGACGATGTGAGGTGTCATTTTGTTTATTAATCGCAGAAACACGTGAAAAATAGCTTAAATCATTTATTTTTTATTTTTCGTTGTACACATTTTTACATTTTATTTAGTATTTAAAAGTTCTGACTCAAGGATAAATTTATTTAATAATTTTTATAAATATATTGATCATAATCGGTAAAATAAAGATAAAATATATATTGATATTATATTCATTAGAGTAGGTTAAATAAGATTAAATTTTTTCTGATACTAATCTTACGTAATGAATATATATAAGGTAAATAATTTTATCTCTTTTATTTTACTCTTTATTATCAATAATAAATATATGAACTTTGTGCTTTTGTCAACCCATGAACAAAATTTTGGATGTCAAATTTATAAACTGTACGCACATTAAAATAAAGTAAAAAATAAATATAAGAAATAGAAAAACAAATAAAAAATAAATATAAAAAATAGAAAAGTAAAAATATAGAAAAATTTATATTATTTTAAAATTATTTTATAGACGCTGATAATACGGTTCAAATTCTAATTGTAAGTAACTTCATGATTAATTAAAAAAATTGAAAATATTATTTTCAATAATTTTAAATTATGATTAATTAAAAATATTATTTTAAAATTATTGAAAATATATTTTTAATTTTTTTAATTAATTATAAAGTGTCTAAATAATTGTAAAACAATATTTTAATTTTTTTAAATTAATCAAAGTGTCTTAGAGCCTGAGCCGTATTATCATCGGTGTCTAGAGTTCTCTAAGATCGTCTCGTCTCGTCATCATCAGTGTTTGGGAAGAACTGGATTAACATAAAAGCATCTCCTGTTTACGATCGCGCGTACTCGATATATGCGTTCCTCGAAATTTCAACGTCTTGTTGGCGTCTTGTTTTGGTGTTCGTTCCGTATCAGAGAGAGAGAAAGAATGTCGTGGCAGTCCGTTTTTTTTCCTCCTCGATATGGATGGGATTGAATTTGTCAAGATAGTGGTCAAACCGCTTTTTAATGTTTCGTTGGAGATTATTTCGCTACCTCTCTTATGAGCTGGCCGGTTCGTAACATTATCTCTTCCATCCCAGGGGCTCTCGTCCGACGCATAACAATAGTTCTTAAAAGATTATGCACCTCAAAATTTTCTGTGAATGCGCCACGATATCTTTTGAAACTGATAATAGTTCTTACAAATTAAAAATAGACCTATATGTACAGACATATTTGTTATTTTTAAAAGGGAGAATAGAAAAGCCGGAAATATTTTTCAGAGTGAATAAGTAGGAAAATATTTAGAAGTCGCGGGATTTTAAAAATGTATCAGATAAAAGTTGTAGGATTTCCAGATGGACATAATATCGTGACTTAAAAATGACCTTAAAAATGATAAGGATAGGACGGTTAAAAAGTGAATAGTTTATGGGATATTTTATACTTTAATTTGAGGTAATTTTACCTAAAATATGAAATATCTCTTATTAATTTTTCGATAATTATATTATCTCAATACTTCTATCTGCAAAATTATTTGATGCAAATAAACACATACACTGAAACATAATTATTGAATTCGAATAAGTACTTATTTCAATACTGAAATAAATCATTTATTTGAAACTAATAATATTGACAGTTATAATTTTTTGACAGTTGGGTCGTTTATAATATACCTTGTAATTTTATTTCACTGTCGACACGGAAATTATTTTTTAAATAATTGATTTGATGTAAAACATTTTTGTTTGATAAACAAGAATCCTTTTCAAAACAAATATATTTGTTTGTTTCAAATAAATGATTTATTAGGCAGTATTGAAATAATTAATTAATTCAGTATTGAAATAATAAATAATATTTATTAATTTAGTCATTTTTTTCAGTGAGCTGTAAAAAAAATATGTAGCTGGTAGTTGCAAATTATATATAAATATAATTTTTTAAATTATTTTAATATATATTTTTTAAATATATTTTTAATATATATATTTTAATTAATATATTTTCTAAAATTAATTTAAGAATTTAGGAAACGGATCGTTTTTCGAAAAAAAAATTGCTTTCGCGTTTGTTTGCTAATATTTAAGGATAATTTTCGTTTTGATATATTCAAGCGCGAGTGGACGATGGCGGCCAGAAGCCCAAATAAAAGTGAACAAACGTGTAGTATACGACTCTTCGATAGGATTCCTCGAACGAGACTTATCGAAGCCGAGGACTAAACCGTTTAGGACCCATATTCCCTGTCTCCGGGATTCTTATCGGACCCTTTGTGACTCGTTACCACTAATTTAACGTTCTAAATGTATATATGTATACGTGTATACGTGTTGTACAGCCTAACGGGTCTGTAACAATAATTCAACACCGGATCAGAAATCTTGCACGTGTATTATTTGTGCGTCTAATATCTCTTGATCGATCAGAATCGGACGCTAAGTGACCAACCGATCGATGTAACGCGAGCACAATTCTTAGTAAAATCGAAAATATAGGTATATGGAATTTTTCTAATTGTCCGATAAGAAAAATTTACCAGCTCTTTAATTTCTCAGCAATTTTTTTTGCAAAACGATCTTTTCTCAACAAAAATGTCGAGAGATTCATCATTTTTTGCAAGCTCCTAATTGTTGCCATCATATATCTTTGTAACTAACAATAAAACTTAAATTAAAACTCTATTAATTTAAATTCGACCTAAAATTAACTAAAAAATGTAGTTTCGTTAATATTTTATTTCCAGAGGATCCTAAACGCCGTCTTGTTTTATCGACACAACCTCATTTTTGTGCACCTTTTTCTTTTTATTCGTTGAATTGAATAATAAATGATTTTTCATGATTAAAGTACATATAGAAACAAAGCGCAGATCTACCGATTTTGTTAAAAATAAAAATTTTTAATTAATTTTTTAGTTAATTTTATAATCAATTTTTTAGTTAATTTTTAATTAACTTTTTAAAAGGATAGTTTTCGAGATATTTTAAGAGTGTCCAACATAATCAATTAGAAGCCAGGAGCTTTAAGGGGATCCTAAACGTCCTTGAGAAGTTGTTTTTTTCCTGCTTTATCGACAAAATGTGTAAACTATAAAATTATTTATTGGCTATACAGATTGTTTTTTACCTGAAATTAGAGCGCTTCGCCCTTCGTTAATATTAATATACTTTAATTTGTACAGAAAAGAGATTGATCAATCTGTATAGTCTCGTATATCTTGGTTACAGAATTATGAATGCTTTTTATAGTTTATCTAACCTCACATTTTGTCGATAAAACAGGAAAGAAACAACAGACTTCTCAAGGACGTTTAGAATCCCCTTAATGATTTTAATATCAATGACTCTCCTTATTTATTTTTTTTAAGATCTATCAGAGGGTGGGGATTATTTGTTATCAAAATGACAATCTTTTTGTTGCATTCCGACATACCTTTTGTCACCTTTAATTGCGACGTGTAATTGTACACTGAAGTCTAATGGATTTCACTCTCCTCACATTTCTTGCTGTATCCTTAGACGCTCTTTTTGTGACCAAAAAAAATTCGAGTAAACACATCTCTCCGATCGAAACTGTTCTTCTCGTATTTTAACTGAACATTAATAAATTCTAACATGTTTGTTTAAGGAGAATTGAAAGTATAAATTATTATAATATTTATATAATTTATATTAATTATAATTTATTTATAATATTTATTATAATATTAAATTATAATATTTATAATATTATATTATTAAATTATATTTATTATAATTTACTTATATAATTTATATTATAATTTTTTGCAAACGCGAGGCTATTTTTTATAAAAATATCACATCTCTTGCTGCGCACCTAACTATTTACGTTTTCTCCCTTCGCAGACTCTGACTAGTCTCGACGACCACGCGCAGACCCAAGATGTATCCGCCAATTCGACCGGAAATGGAATGGTCGCCGCCAGTGTGACGCAGTTGCTGTGCAGCCTGATCCCCGAAGAGCCCTTTGAGAAAACGGTCTTGCAGACTCGCGTTCAAGATATTGCCGGGTAAGTCCTTCAAACGTTCAATTTATGAGCGCAGTCTCGTATTACGAGCCCGAGGCTTCGATATTGAAGAGAACCCAACCCTCTTTTAAATGATTAAAATATATTTTTATTAATATGCATATATAAAGTCTCGAAGTGGCTGAGTGTCAAAAGAATTGCATTTACCTTATCTAGTGAAAATAAAAATATTTCCAATATATCAAAAAATAATTTTCATGGTATTTTCGAAAAATCTGTTTGATACAGAATTTTAGGAAAAAATCTTTCTATAATCCAATTTTATTTTATTCATCTATAATTTTTTTTAATTTATTCATTTTTAATTTTTTAAATTTATTTATTTTAGAAAATAATTTTTTATTAATTTTATTAATTTCTATAATCCATTTATTATTCAATTCTGTGTATAATAATAATAATTTATTAGTTTGCACGCCTTTTCCTGGACTATGATGCCATTACTTTTTGTGCCATCGAATAAGAATATAGGATGTTCGATTATTAGTTACAAGAACTAAAATTAGCTCAAAATTAATCTCTACAGGCGACCGAAGCATTATTTTGCTGATTAGGGTAATCGGAATATAATTAGCAACGTCCCACTTTTTCCTGGACGAGATACGAACGTTCTACGTAATTGCGGGCAATCATTTACAATGAAATCGTAACTTCTGTAACGTGTCTTTACGTATATATCTTTTCCCCGTATTCTTTTTTTCTATTTTTTTTATGAAGTCCTCAATAAAAGGACCAGAGCCGCCGAGATGGTATTTTGCGATAAAAAGCGAATTATCGGAACGATATGTAGAAAACTCATAAGAAGCAATAATAACACGAGGACGACAAAATTTCATGTCACAAAAAAATAATTTTATTTATTTTATTTTATTGGTTTATAATTTTTTTAATTTATTCATTTTTTATTTTATTCATTTATAATTTTTTTTAATTTATTAATTTTATCAAATAATTTTTTATTCAATCTTAAAATAGAAATTTATTATAAGAATTAGAATAATAATGTTGTACTCGTACAAGTAATATGTTATAAAACTTTAAACTCGAATAATATTTTTTGACAGAAATCAGCTGATAACTGTCAAAAATATTAATCGAATTTAAAGTATTATAACGTATTATTTAATATGTAATATAGTTTTAATTTTTATAACACACATACACACACACCACACACACACATTATTATTATTTTAAATATAATTAGCAAATGAACGCTTTAAATTTTATTAATTTTATTAATTGTTTTATTAATTTTAAAAATGATTAATTATAAATGTATTAATATATTAATTCTTAATTTTACCTAATATGATGTTTCTATTGATGAAAGACGATAGATCTCTCTCAAGTTTCTCTCCAAGCTATTAGCGCGTGACGTTCGTTTTCGTACAAAATTTATATGCACTCGTCTGTCCTTTTCTCGTCGCAAATCCGCGTCTTTTGATCTGGTCGAGTCATTTGTTGCGCAAACAACGCGCCATCGCCTCCAGGATGGCGCCTTTGAATATACTCGAGGAGACGGCTTTGAGGTGCACACGCGAGAGGACCACCCTGTCCGAAAATATAACCGCGCGTCAGTGCTGAACTTAATACGCGAGTCGCGCGAGGTGACAGGCCGCAAACTGTTTTCGTTGCATCGCGCGGGATCCGTGATCTTCGCGTTTCGGAAGGTTGACGGTTCGCACCTGGGTCAACTTCCTTCGCGAGGACCCCCCAAAACGACGCGACGCCTTTTAAACCCTTTGCGAGCGCGCTTGTTCTCTTGAACACACGTGGCTCTCTTCCGGGGAGGAAAATCCTGCCGCAGACGTTTTATCTCTCCGGCCAGCGTATTAAAGTAACAGTTATATAATATGATTAGAAGCAAAATTAGAGCAGATTTAGAAAATAGTTTAAACCTTGCTTATATATTTATAAGCAATTTCAGTTTGGATTTTTTATTTATTAGCTTATGCAAATTTTGCATCTTTATTATTTATACACTGGAAACAAATTATTAAATTTAGAAATATTTCTTTCAATATTGCCTAATAAATCATTTATTTGAAATAAATAATTTTAATTAAATTTTATTTAATAATTTTAATTGAATTTTATCTGCTAAGAAAAATAAATTAATTAATTCTTCAATAAGTATTTTATTACACTTTAAGATATTATGCAGTAAAATAATTGAAACAAAAATATTGTTTCATCTACTTACATATCTATTTTAATGTATAAAGTTTATTTTTTAAATAGAAATTATAAAGTTATTATTTTTCAATCTATATATATATTCTTATAAAAATCTTTCCTTAATGGTAAAAGTCGACCAAACTGGCAATCATTTATTATAAATAATTAGTTAAAATACAACGTTTCGGCTGTCATTGCAGCTCTTTTCACAAGTAAATCTATAAAAAGTTACATAAAAATAATTATAATTTTAATACATTTTATCGCAACAAATAATTATAAATTCATATACAAGTATGTTACATACCAAACGTAAATGCATAATAAATTAATACAGTAAATCAAATTCACTGCATACCACCGACAATATTCACCATTGTTTAATATTTTAATAAACAATGTAGACTTGACAGAAGTAAGCAAGAAATAAATAGATGTTAACAGTTAGCAAGAATCTTAGTCATTACGCGTTAAGAAAATCGAGACAAACTAATGTGTCTTTCGCAATCTAAAACCTCATAACAAAGTCAAATAAATAAATAAATAGGTAAAAATAAAAATAATTTAAATAGCGTCAAGAACACGATCATAAATCCCACTAAAATTCTCCGTATCTTTTTGTAAAAAATGCCTTTACTTTGTTTTTTTATATAAAACATTTCTGCAATTTCTCTTTTCTTGTTTGTTTTTCTTGATGCAAGATCACCGGAGAATCCGAACGGAACTCATGATCGTTGCAAGTCCGATGCAAACTAACGACTGAATGCAATGTAGTGTCTTTTTTGATATTATTTTTATGTTCTTTGATGCGCGTTTCTAAATGTCTCTTTGTCTGTCCAATATACGTAGAATCACAATTCGCACATTCAATTTTATACACGACATCGGTTCTTTTTAAGTTGTCTATCCTATCTTTTCCTCATTTTATCAGTGTGTCTAATTTTTTTGGAACGGTATATAATACATCAATTCCATTTTTATTAATGCAACGCGTAATATTCTCGCTCTAATCTCTAATGTAAGGCAACACCATACAAGTTCGCGCATCAAATTTATTTCGGTTTAATGAGCTAAGATTACCGCCAAATTTAATCGCCCTACGTCTTTTGTTAATATTTTTGTTTATAACCGTTAACGGGTAACAATTATTACGAAGAATTCTTCTGACTATATTAATGTTTTCTTCGTGAAACATAGGATCAGCGAGTACAATAGCTCTATCAACTAGGCTTGTGATCACACTGAGTTTATATCTCATCGGATGATTCAATAGAAAATTTATATATATCGACCTGAAAACGTAGGTTTACAGAACCAATTAGTCGATTTTTATTAACTTATATAACTTTTAAATTTTTATTAGTTATATAAATAAAAAATTTTTTAAATTTTAATTTTTAACTAAATAAGGAAACTAAAGATTGAAATTTTTCATAATTATTTTATTAAATTTATAAAGATTCTATAAATAAATAGTGTAAACAGATAATAAGAATATAGAAAATAATAAAGATTTTATAGTAAGAAAAAGTTAACAAAGAATAAATTTCTATTTAAAGAGCAAATTTTATATATTAAAATAAACATAATATATAAAATATATTAAAAACTAAATTTTACATAAAAACGAACTGCTACATATTAAATAAGATTAAGAACTAATAAATTAGAAAATTAATATATCAAATTAATAAAACAATTAATAAAATTAATAAAAAGTTATTTGATAAGACGCACTTGAAAAGTGTTGAACAAAAGTGCAGTATATTTAACGTTATTAATATAAGATAATTATTTATACTGAAAAAATGGTATATTATCCCTTAATTTTATCCCCATAGGTATAGAAGGATATTTCTTTCTACATCTGAAATTACGCGGATGAGTAATTTTAACACTTTCGTGTGCGTGACAGCGTCGCCCTAAAAAGATTGTGCCAGATTGTTATTTCCTCTTTCGACGTTGCTTTGCTATAATCGGGGTGAATCTGCGCATTTCACACGTTTCACCGATATATATACCCCGGTATATGCACGTACCGTGTCTGGCCTTGTATAATGAATGACGAAGGTGTGCGCGATCAGAATTATTGTCGACCGGATAGCGGGATTATTATGATTAATTTCCTGCCGATGTGCGCGCGCGAGAAAGGCCTAGTCACGATTTTTACTCACTCGGCTCGACGAGACTCGCTTTTCGCTCTCTCGTATCTTTAAAACGCGCGCAGATGTGTAACGGCGATCGATCATTTTGTACGTCGTAATGCTTATTTGACGGGGGTCGTTAAGTGCTGCACTCGCCGTCACTCCTTTCCTGGAAAATAATGCGCCATTTTTTTTTTCCGCACGCCAAGACGCTCGATGTGCCTTTTTTTCTTTCTTATCACCCATCCGATAATGCATTCGATAATCCGCGATTATCATCGACTTACAGGGAACCTCCCAAACCGAAAAATCCTGAAATGTTATGCACATATAGCAGGAAATTAATTTAGAAATTTTAAATTGTTAGGTTAGGTTAGGTAATAGGTTAGGTTAGGGTTAGATTAGGTTAGGTTTATTTTTTTTATTGTCCAAAAACGATTCTAAAAGGATGAAATTATTCTTGCACTGAAAAAATTTGTTAACTTGACTAAATCTTTCAACTAAATATTATTTTGTTAATTGAACATATAAAAATATTTAAATTAAATGTAACATATTAAATCTAACAGATATATATTTGACTTAAATACTAATATATGTTCAATTAACAAAATAGTAATTTAGTTGAAAAGTTTAGTCAAGTTAATACAATTTTTT